TGCAGCACTTGGGGCAGCTGCTGAACTTTTAGTTGTGGCTGCAGCAGATTCGTAAAGTTTTCTTGCAGCAGTGGCTGCTGAGACTGAAGGCGTTGCTGCTGTTGCTGCTGCTGCTGCTGCTGCTGCTGCTGCTGCTCAAGTTGTTGCTGCAGTGGCATTCGTTGCTGCGGCGGAAAAAACTGCTGTTGCTGCATATGAAGCTGCTGATTGATATTTTGCTGCAACTGTAGCTGCTGCAGCTGCTGCAGCTGCTGCAGCTGCTGCAGCTGCTGCAGCGAGAGCTGTTGGCCCTGTGGCATCTGCTGCTGCGGTGTATTCCTCTTTGTCTGCTGAATGTGCTGCTGCTGCTCGTGCTGCATGCGCAGCTGCTGCAGCAGCAGCTGCCGGTCAGCTACACTCGAACTCATGAATGCTTTTTCCCCTAAAGATAAGGAGCTGTCGCACGACTGCTGCTGCTGCTGTTGCTGCTGCTGCTGCCGCTGCTGCTGCTGCTGCTGCTGCTGCTGCTGCTGCTGCATGGCGAGCTGCGACTCTGCAGCCCTGCGTGCAGCAAGTAAGAAGGCGTCTGATGCCAGTGGCGGTTGCTTCTGGCGTTGCTGCTGCGGCTGCTGCCGCTGCTGCTGCTGCTGCTGCTGCTGCCGCCGCTGCTGCTCACTGATCATCACACGCTGCAGCACATTGCAGCTATCAGCAGCTGGTGGCTCTGCAAGCACTGAGCGCGAAATTGGAGGCTGCCACAGCTGCTGCTGTTGCTGCTGCTGCTGCTGCTGCTGCTGTTGCTGCTGCTGCAGACGGGGCCATGCTATAGGGCTGCGCAGAGACTCGTGCTGCTGCTGCTGCTGCTGCTGTCGCTGCTGTTGCTGGTGCGGTGTTGCACTTGCGTGTGCTTGGTGCAGCTGCTGCAGCAGTTGCTGCTGCTGGCTTTTCTGCTCAGCAGGCAGAGGTGAAGCAGCTGCTGCTCCTGGCAGCGACCACGGCTCTTGCTGCTGCTGTTGCTGCTGCTGCTGTCGCTGCTGCTGCAGCGGGCTATGCATCGGCCCTACACTCCGTTGCTGCTGCTGCTCCCTCTTCGTGTGCAGCTGCTGGGCTGGCGTGGTTGCTGCTGCTGCCTGCTGCAGCAACGCGGGGCTACGCTGCTGCAGCGCCCGGGGTGACCCCAGTGCTGCACGCACTCTGTCTTCACCTGCCCCGTTGTTGTTCTTATATTGCTGCTGCTGCTGCTGCGCTTGCAGCTGCTGCTGCAGCGGCGGTTGCGGTTGCAGTTGCTGCTGCTGCAGCAGCTGCTGCTG